AGGGGGTAAAAGTACTTTAAACTGTATAAATTCAATTGAATAAAATTGGCCAATCACGAGAAAGTTAGCCTATATATTCAAAACCAACTTCGTTTTTGTCAAAAATCGTTCATAACACAAATTTTGGTCTATGAAGGGTAAAATCATGATCCTATCTATTCTATTACAGTAAATAACGATGAGTTGTTAGCAAATTAATTGCTTAAACAAAAGTAGTAGTCATTTAAAATATTTGCTGTCTTTAGGTTGTAAGCACTGTAGTAAATTTTCTAGTATGTTCTATTACGTTGTAGTTTCTTATGTTTTTTATAGTATTTGCGAGTTACGCGTTTTGGCGTTGTTTTGATTGCTGATTTGCAGTCCCTGATTTTCATCGGATTGCCGTAATGGTCGATTTTGGTAATTGATGAATGCAGTAATTTGTTAATAATAATTATAGTAATGCTCAATTACTACGTACGTACGTACGTACGATGGATCAAACAAAGACCGATTTTAAATGGTTTATATTAATATAAAAACCCTCTCGATATAGTGAATTTACTAATAGACTCTCGATACGTATAGTGAAGAAAATCTCACAGCCCGATCACTTCATTATAACGAGAGTGACTTGTAGTATAGAATGTAGATCAATTATTGAATCATCACATCTGATGTAGGCCAGCCAACCAGAATTTTGGTATATCGATATAGCAGTAAGTTTGATAGGATATTTAAGTTTTTGGTTGTTGATAACGGAACTGGGTGAGTTAAAGTTATACTTGCTCTTGTACATCAATAGTCATCATGCGTTTAGCCGTTGTGAATCCTTCCTTGCCTTTCTATTCATGTAGTTCGTTAAAGTCGGTTATGCTGGATCTAATTTTCCACAGCATGTATTCCCTTCCGTTGTTGGACGACCTATTCTTCGTGCAGAGGAAAAGGTTGGAAACTTGGAGGTCAAAAATATTATGGTTGGTGATGAAGCTGCTGAACTTCGTTCGATGCTTCAAATGTCATATCCAATGGAAAATGGTATCATAAAGATATGGGAGGACATGAAACACTTATGGGATTATACCTTCAATGAAAAATTAAAAGTTAATCCTAAGGATTGTAAAATTTTATTGACCGAACCGCCAATGAATCCAACAAGTAATAGGCAGGAAATGGTACGATTAATGTTTGAAGAGTATGGGTTCCAAGGAGTTTATGTTTCTATTCAGGCCGTATTAACGCTTTATGCCCAAGGTGATTTTTTCAATGGCATATTTATGGATTTATGTTTTGCTTTGCTGAACTTATTTCACTTTTACAATTGGACAAAGGTCTTCTTACCGGGGTAGTTGTCGACTCTGGTGATGGTGTAACTCATATTGTTCCCATTTTCGACGGTTATGCACTCCCACATCAAACACGTCGATTAGATGTTGCTGGACGAGATGTGACGCGTTATCTTATAAAATTGCTTTTACTGAGAGGTTACGCTTTTAATCGAACAGCAGATTTTGAGACTGTAAGACAAATTAAGGAAAAGCTTTGTTATGTAAGGTACTGAAATACCAAATTGTCCTTAATGGGCTTATATTTGTCTTTATTAATCAAATATACACTTTTTAATAAGTTATGATATTCCATTGGACCAAAAATTGGCAAACGAAACTACAGTACTCGTCGAGAATTATACGGTAGGTCATATATCTTAAAGAAATGGTTGTCTTGATTATTTAAAAGCTGCATCGCTAAAAGAAAACATTTTACTAGTTGCCTGATGGTCGTGTTATCAAAGTGGGCTCTGAGCGATTTGAGGCACCTGAATGCATGTTCCAGCCGCATTTAATTGATGTGGAAAAACCCGGTGTTGCGGGTATTTTTAAATATTATTTATAATTTTCCAATTGAACTTTATAATTTTTACTATATGTTTGTGTGTTTCTTCTCTTCACAATTAAGAAATGCTTTTCGAAACCATCCAAGATGCTGCAGTTGATATTCGTCCAGAATTATATCGACATATCGTCTTATCAGGTGGCTCATCGATGTATCCTGGGCTGCCGAGCCGCCTAGAAAAAGAACTTAAGCAATTATATCTAAAAAGGGTTGCACAGGGCGATCTTTCAAGATTAAAGGTAAGAAACAAACTGTGTATTAATGCTTCGATTTGCAATGGATGTTAAATGTAATCTGCAATCTACTGAACCTTATCAGAAATTAAAAATCCGAATTGAAGATCCACCAAGGCGTAAGCATATGGTATTTCTTGGCGGTGCAGTTTTAGCTAATATAATGAAGGATAAACAGTCTTGGTGGGTTACTAAACAAGAATGGGAGGAAGAAGGTGTAAAATGTCTGGAAAAACTAGGAACTCACGGATCAGTCTGATGAACAGTCGACTAGAGTTTAGAACCGGGTTATAGTAAACCGTGTCACCCGTGTCAAAACGGTTCAACCGAGTCAAAAATTTACAAC